AAAAAGCCCAACAACATTCAGGGAGAACATGGTGTTCATACAGAAGACCAACCAGATTCACTGAACTTTGTAACAAAGACAAAACTGAGCCTCAATGGTATTTCCAAATTTTTCATTGTCTTATACGGCTTTAAAACCCGTGAGTTGGCGGTCTTCTACAAATGTTTGTGGAGTTTAAAAGGGAAACACAGCGAGAAGCTTATAATACACACTAAATTACAGTGTGTGCACTTGTCGTTTGGAAAAGTGGAGCTGAAATAGACATGGTCCAAACCTAAGCTCAACCCTGCTTCACTGAACATGTCCTATAAGGCTGAGGCAAAAGCAATTTGACACAGTATTTCCTGGAACGGCATCAGTCTGGACAGAATTCAAATCTTATGTTATATTACTATATATTGTATGTACGTTTGTATTAATTATTACATTTTTGGCTATTTTTTTAAGTGCCTTTTCACCCCCTTTTAACTGGTGGGCTCTTGTTGCTAGGTTGTAGTTTTCGTATCTTTAGCTTTACACTAACGATACTCACATAATCTGTGAACCTACAACATGTTAGACAAACTGGCTACAACTGAAATTACACTCACTGCTTAAAGGCATGATATCTGTATTTTCTACAGTAATTTCTACCCAGGTTTTGAAAATGTTCATTACTTCTTTTGTAGAGTAGCACAGTCAAATTCCTAGAATATGCTGTTTTGTTTGAGGCCTCTGCATATTTTGGCTGCACATCCTGAATTTTAAGAAATTGTCAGAGGTTTTAAGAAGTACTTATTTGCTTGTAGGTGCAAACATTAGCATTAAGTTCACTTTAAAATCAGAAGGGTGTAAATCACACAGCACAGGCCTGTAGCTTGTCTTTGCATAATGACAGGAAAGTGGTGCATCATTTCAACATAATTTCAAAGACTTAGCTAATAACAAGTATGATTGCCTTCCCTTCTTCCTGCTTCCTCTGTGTTACTAATGTTATTGCAGTTACAGATTATTCAGTCGTTTCAGGCAAGTGTTTGATGTGTGGCCTCAAATATTTGGTCAACGCAGAAAGACTGGAAGACAAGATGGAGGCGTCTCCTTACATTTGTTTGTTAAAGCAGCCGGTTCAAAGCTTTTCGCAGTGTACACCTGCAGGCTACACTGGTGCATATACAGCAGCTACTGCACGCACACACACTGAATCACACGAGCACTGGTACCACCAGTTTATGAATAGAGTTGAAGTTCACAGGTAAATATGAACAGAATAGTGTGGCAATGAGGGGCTAGTTTGGTCTTATTAAGGTGGTATGTGCCCAGAGCAAAGAGTCACGTTTTCCTGACAGACTTACTTAAAATGGGGTCAGCCAAGGGACAAGGGAGGGGTCTCAGTCCTGCTTCTGCAGCCATGCCTGCAGGAAAGGTAGGTGCTGCATTAGGTGCTGAGTATTCCACTCACTTCCTCAGTGACAGGTGGAGGACGTCTGCCCAGACTTACTCAGCAGTGTTGTTATTTGTGCTTAGTGCAAATATGTCATTTCTTTACAGCAGTTTAAATACTGTAGCAAAGAGTAAATCTTAGAGCAGACCTGAGCAAACTACGGCCCGCAGGCCAGACGTGGCCCACAGGGCTTTTAAATACTGCCTGCCAAACACTGGTATAGGACATGGTAAAGACTGATGTCAAACCTTCTGTTTCATGCATGACAACAATTGAACTGTAATTTCGGTTGATACCAATAAATGCCGGCAGACATCAAATGCGCCAAATGGTGGATGGATTTGAAAGTTTAGGTTAATTTTGGCAAGCATTCTATATCAAACAATACTGAACCAGTCCACCAATGTTGAACTTGTCTTAGAGTAAAACAAAAACATGTTTACTTTGGACAGGGACACAATATGATTGACAGCTAGTTCGGTATATCCTGGACACAACACTCAACTAAACCTGCCAAACGAGTTCCCCAGATGATACCATGCCATCATGTCACTCACCCGGGTCAAGGTGAGAATAGGGAGGGGGGCCCTTTCACACTTTAACCGTGGTGATCACAACATTCCTGCCATCAGGTCACGGTGTGTTCACCTCCTTTGTTTGATGTAACAGCTCTATTTTCAGGTAAATACTGGAATTTTAAGTTACAACTGAAAAAGACTCTTGGATAAGGCAAAAGATCTTCAACAAGTCAAGACGGCCCAGTTGCCTACTACTAAAAATGACCTGGATGACTGATATTCAAAGCTGACACATTTCCCAGTTTACGGAGTAGTGTTTCACTTTAGTTTAAGGTGACAGTTTTTTCTTCATGTAAGTCTATTGAAATACATGTAGCTGTAGGAAAAAAATAAAAAGGCGTGAGGTTAAAAAGCAAAGTGATACTTTTTTACTTTTCATGGTAAGTCTCTCTGCTTCTTTAACAATGTAACAGTAGAAGATCGTCAACATCAAAGCCATTGTTCTAAACTCTTCCAATTTATAAATGTTTAATGCAAACATCAACGTTTTTTTCTTGCCCTGTAGGCTGTAAAACAGGCTCCTGCAGCAAAATAAATTATTGTCTGAATCTACTTAAAAAAGAGAGATAACACTTTAGAGCATCATTTTTGTTTTATTTTGGTCAGATTTCATTATCAAATAAATGCATTGATGTTTTTTGTGTTTGTGCTGGAGAAATATAAAGGGCAATGATGTGGTTTCTTCTATTTGAACTCAGACTGTGCTGTTCTGCCCTTCTTCCCTTGACACTCCAGTCAAAACATCATGCTCACACACAGAGCGCCTAACACACAAAATGCTTGAGGTGATTGTTTGAGTATATGTTTGTTGAAGTTCTGCGGTTGTGAGACTTCTTTTAACAGAAGCAACTGTGACTAAACTGTTACATCTACAGTATCTGCACTGCTTACAGTGTTTCTGTCTGCATGTGCGAGTGTGTACGGGTGTGTGTGCCAGAGCAGTAAGGAATTTTAACAGTGTCCAGATGTGTGGAGGGAAAAAGGGAATGCAGAAGGGATGAAGGCATGAAGGCATGCTGCTTAATAATGACACAGTAGAGTGGGACATACAAAATCCATTTTTTCATGTAATGGTCCGTCTTCTCTAGGTTTCAATCATAGTGGAAAATCAGAAATGTATAGCAGCTGCACTGCCCAGATTTCTGGTTGCATGCTTACACGACTGTGAAAATTATAAGAAAAAAGGTTAAGGATAATACAATGACCTTCTGTTGATATGGACCGATCTGGGATCATTTGGGAGGTGTTTACATTTCTAGGAATTTGTGGTTTTTATAATGTCAAAAAGACAAAAGACAGGAGACTAAGCATCACTTATAACTCACTTATCACTAAATATTCTATTACAACTATAACCAGAGTACTTTTCTATGCAGATGATGAAAGAAATGTTTTCACAGCCAAATAAGTACAAATATGGTCGTATAACAACAACGAGATTCATAACGTAGCAGGTTAAGTGGTAATGTAATCTTTACCTAAAACACCACTGACCACAAACCACTCACAGATTCAAGAATTATGACACACAGAGGATCATATGTCCCCGGAACAGTGGTACAGTCAGTGATGATAGTTACTTTCACTCTTCTTACATTCATTGTTAGTCACTAAGTTTGGACAAAAACCACAGCAACCGTTTATAGTCTCAGCGGACATTGTTGGTTTTCTGTCCATCTGAATCATATCCTGTCATCTTCAAAGCCAAGAGAAGTTTCAAACACTGCACATTGTTACCATGTGAACTCTACAAAAAGGTCAGCTGGGTAGCTCAGGACATTCTCTGGTAAAAACATTGACCGTATCAGGGCCAGAGGGGGCCTAGTGGGAGAAGACCTCAACACTAATGCAGGTTGCCCAACATGACTTATTGTCTGAATTATAAGCTCTGTATGAGATTGTCCAGAGTCTGCTGTTCACACATAATGAATGACGTGGGAGACTGTCTGGGTCAGATGCATTCACAACAACAGAGGAATGTCCAGAACATTCCAGGCAGGAGTGAAGTCTGGGTTTCACAATGAGGAGATAAAACATACAACCACTCACTCAGTTTGATTTGCCCACAGCATCATTCGCTCCAGACAACTGAAACTCAGTTTGTTGTCAGACACTCTAGAGGGCCTTGAATAATGACCTTAAAATGACCTGGAAATAATCAAAATGCCTTCAAAACCTATGTCATATGCTATGAAGTGTGTTTTATAACTGTCTACATATCGTTTCATATTTTTAATAAAGGCTGAGATCAATTCAGATGCCATGTCTTGACCCAGGAAGGGACTTCAACATGTTTGTAACTGTAAAGTGCCCTGGCACAACGCCTTGGACTTGAGTAGAATGATGAGCTGAAAATGTGCCATATTGCATATTTGAGGCAGGTTTTGCTTTTATATCCTTATAACAAGTAAGGGACACGTAATCAGCTGTGCGGATTTTTTTTGCTAACTTCAATCAATTACGGCTCTGACATACAACTCAATTTACAAATTAGCCACTAACGTTCTAATTTAGTTCAATGCCTCACACAACTTGTGAAGTGTGATGGTAAATTAGCTAACCTAAGAAAGCCAGTCATGGGGGCGGGTCATATTTTAAAAGCCTAGCTTCTAATTGGTTGTCATTGGCAGATTATGTTGAATTAGCTCTGAGGATTATTTGGCGATATCCACCTAGTTTATTGATATGAAGCGATAGTAAATATTCACAGATCACATTTTAAATAGTGTTTTTAAAAACAACAACATTTTTTTTAAATAGTGTTTTTAAAAACAACAAACAACATTTTCTTTTCCTTTTTCTCTGAGTAAAAGATTTATGATTGATAATATACATACAGTATATGTATACAGACAGATCAAACCAAAGATTTCCTCTGAGCTTCTGACAGGTCACCGTGGTTATTCAAACCAACTGACTTACCCCAAATGGAAGAACAGTGAGAATTACCACAATCACACACTGAGTGTGATTCATGTACATATTGCTGATGACTCACTCACTTGTGCCAATCCAATTTTCCGTACTTGTATTGTGGTCCAGTGTCTCAATTGCACAACTTACTCAGAGAAATACAAGTACATGCATTTGATTGTAACACTGCTAAAATAAAAAAGGATCAAAGGATCACATGTCTTAACATGAAAACCACAGTATCTGTAGATCATCTCATATCCTTTATAGCTTTATAACTTTATAGCACATTATTATAACATAATTTCTAAGCTGCCATTTTTCCTTTATAATGTTTATTTCTTGGCTGTTCGCAGTATTGTTCACTTATACAAATGCCACACGCTACTTTCAATTCCAAAGTATGGCAGTATCAACATATCTATTGATCTCCACAGATTGAAGGCCGTTTAAGGAGGGAGGAAGTAGATAAAAGCCTCGAAGCAATGTTTTATACAGCCTAAATGGTGTTAAGTTCCCTCTTAAACTGATAAAAAAAAAAGACTTACAGTATTGGGAGATGAAATCCAGTTAAATGTTTGACACCAGAACATTGAGTTTCAAAACAATTTTCATATTAAAACACAGGTACATATTAGTTATTTGGAGTAACATAAAGGACACAATAGAGGACAACATCAAGGTTTCTTGATGAAACTCACCGACTTTTTATGTAATTTTTGAAAGACTTGTAACAGGAGCAATACGTTTGTTTTTTCAGAGTTTCGATGAAGGTAGTTGTTGCATAACTATTCTTTGAAGCTAGTCAGACAAAGCCCTAATGAAATTAAACAATGTTGATCTGTGGGCTAAAAAGACCAGTGGAAACGGATATCATCAGCATATAAAAGTAAAGATGTATATCTCACTAACTAAAGCACTATAAACACAAGGCCAGCCTCTTTTTGAGGCCCATTAAAATAAATTTCACTTAAAAGAAAATCCTATATGATGTATTTCTATAATAGTCATCATGGCCATACTAGACTTGCAGGAAACGGCCTGCATACTGCATACTTTCAGTGGACCACATGGAGAGCTTTTTCAGCATAGACTCCAAAGAGGTCTGTTTGTTTTTATATACTGCAGAGTACATCCACGAGGTGACGAAATAGATTTTGCAGTCTCTCACATACAAAGTCTGCTGGGGCTGAATTATCAAAGCACAAATGGCCTGTTACAGCTCACAGTTTCAGTGGGTGCTGTCAGTGAATGTTTCCTCCAACAGCCCTCTAAGGCTCTGAGCAGAAACTGTTCCCCGGGCTAATGTCCCACACTGAGTACAACTCAGATTAGAAACACATTTTTGGCCCCATGGTCTCAATGATGGAAGTGAAATACAAGAGGAAAGATGATAGTGCTCATGTGTCAGGATACAATTTTTCGATATTTTAGTCTTCTGGTGTCCTAGAAGAAAGGTCATTTTGACAGAAACATTCTGTGGTTGTGGATCACACCAACTTCTGTGGCCTTGAACTGTTGAAATACTTTTCATGCCCTTTCAAGCTACCAGATGGTGAGTCTATTCTACTGAATACGCATCCTTATTATGCGTATTGTTTTGTTTTTTTTTAGTTTTTGTCACACTTTTTTTATAAAGTTTTCCACATATGTGATTTGGGTGTTTTTTAACCCAACCTTCCAGATTTATCTAGGGTTAAACTAGCATGAACTAAACAAAGCAAAGCAAATTAGTTGGTGTCAAGTGTCAAGAGTTACCCACCTGTCTACTGATTCAGTGTATTAGTTTAGCTCCTACGGTGCATTACCACCTCCAGATAAATAGTAAAAATACAGTGGTTTGTTGTTTTATGTTTAATAACTCAATCACTTTCGAAGATTCTCCCCATCTCCACAGGTATTTTTTTCAATGCTGGGCTGTTGTGACAACATATTCAGTTCACTTGTTTATGTAGTCCCATGACAAGTTTCAATGGAAGTAAATATCTGCAATAAAATCAAGCTTCAGCCAAATTGTTTATTGCTTTACGTCCACTTTAAAGTTTAGAGCATTTTGAATTTTCACCTCCAAAGACTTGTTTAAGATGTTGTACAAATCAAATAGAACGAGGGAATAAATATGTACAGATAATAAAAACATGAAAAATCCCTGTTGTGAAAGAAGCGCTGCTGAGGAATGTTTCGCAGGTCCAGCTGGAAGACTGTGGTGCCAACAATTTACCGGTGAAAGATAGACTAGCGATCCCAGTGACCCAGGAGATTGTGGGATCTGCCACTGAAGACACACGAATAACCTGCTTTTATGGCCTCACTCGTCAGATTTATGCTCTACAGTCTGGGGAGGATTTACTCACAGACCAACATCTGGAGCTGGTTGTACCTATTACCACCAACACTCCTCCCTTCCCACCATTAAACCCCCCCTTAACTACAAGAACTGGAGCGATGAGAGTCTAAATCTGTTGTGGTTAAACAGCAGCAAACAGGACACAACTTTGAAGGTCAGTCTGTGCTTTGTTAAAATGAGCAGGAAAAAAACAACAAAACGTCCACAGGATGAAATGCGAACACTGTCAAAATGCAAAAATGTGGAGAAGATCAATGGTGCGAACACTGTCAAAATGCAAAAATGTATGTAAATGCAAAAAACTATTCTAAAAGGAGAATAAGCAACGCCCACACAGCGACTCAACACTGCATGTAAATGCTCATTGAATGGACTCAGCTAGCTATTTTAAAGGAGGTTAATCCACTGCTAAAGGGATTTATTAGGGATATTAATCCATCAATATACATACACTCAGTATGTTTTTGTTTGTATTTCCTAAATCTTTTCACGTTGAATGATCAATGACGTCCCTGCGTTGCAAGGGATGCAAATTTTTGTATAGAAGCAAAGGATCAGGCTTGATCTTCTCTAATAAGAATGGAGATACTAAAATAACAATGGAATTATACCTCTGTGCCAATCACACAAATACTCCCACCACCAAAATTCAATACCTTCCTGTCAGGATCTATTTTTAAGAAAAGCATATACTTTTAGCAGACAAACCATTTTTTTCAGCTGTTTTCTCTCAACGTCTCAGTTACTGGATTTCCATCAACTTTTCCATATTTCGTTTTTTTTAAGGCGGTATGCAAATTGTATTTGCAGTTTGTGTGCATGAGGTAAATTCTTGTGCTACATAGTTTAAAAAAGTGACCATTGCTGACAGATATCTTCCTGGTTTTAATGGTCTAAGCTTACCTCTGACCTTTTCAATTTCTCATTGACTTTCAAACTACATGTACAAAAACATTGGTAAATTTGGATATCAAGTTTAGGTATGAAATTAGCATACACTAAAGCAGGGATCACTAACGTGGTTCCCGGGGGCACCTGGTAGCCTAAGGTGCCCGTGGGGTATGTTCTAAAAATAAAACTAGTCAACAAGAGGGTCAGAAATTGTACTGTTTTTGTTTTTTTGGATCAGTTACACTTGAAATGATATTGAAATGGGTGTTATTGCATGTCCTACAACTTCACGGAACAGCATTAGTTTTCTTTTGGATTATTATTATTTTGTTCAGGAAGTCTGTTTCAAACAAGTATTATATTAATAGGTACCGTACAAGTAGCCCTCTGTTTCAAAAAGGATGGTGACTCCTGCACTATGGATCAACGTCAATGACTGACCGGTAAAAGATTTTGAAGTATTTTTCACAGTAACAATAAACAGAAAAATCCCTCTTGCAAAACTGTAATTTAACCATAAGGATGTTTAAATGTCAATATGTTTTTTGTCGCTATATCGAGAACTTCCCTGCAAATGGGATGCACAGTGATCCTCTGAGTCTGACAGTAATGTTTTAAAAACTTGGCTCCTATCCTGTACTCTTTCTACAGTCCAGAATAATAGGGCCAAGGTTGGCTCTTAGCTGCCGGTAACTGTTACTCAAGTGGTCTTGTATCTTCATTTGTGATTTGTCAAACGGATTTGCAGCTCAACTAGGCTGCCTGCCATTCAGGAAGCATGGGGGCTGGAGGCTCGACCAATCAGGAGGCAATAAACTGCAGCATTAAAAAAAAAAAAACACAGAAGAACAGGAATATCATTACACTAGAGGGCTCCAACATCCAGTGGTCACAACTACAACTTTTGAACTCTTTATGATTGAGTTCTGGCACTAACTGGGAATCCTCAAGCTGAGCTCCACCAACCACACTGCACACAGGGGCCTGACAGAATAGCTTCATGCTCAACCCAGCACTAATCACTGTCAGGTGGAAGAATGCACCCAAACCGTCTGTGGTTCGTGCCCGTGCAATCTTCACGAGGAACTCTCTTTGCTTGAAAGGAGAACAATTTAGGCCAGAATTACCACAGTGAATTGGCATGAGGTTGATTAGTCTTATGGGGAACTCCCAAAAACACATGGGGCAGGCCAGTCCAGTAAGTTAGAATTTGCAGAATTAAACATGCAATAACCAAATCAAAGATGTCGCCTACTCTAATGTAGACAAAAGTGGAAATGGTACCCAGACATTAACAGTGTCCCTCTTTGCCCAGGACAAATACATAAAACTGCAGCTTCCCAGTCTTCTCCAGTGGGGTAGCAAACTGCTTCCACATGTGTTTTTTCCATATCCCGCTGCTATTCTGGAATTTCGTTTATGTACATTGTCAAACTTCTCACACTGTGAGAATAAAGGCATAAAAGCAATTAGGGGCCGGGGAGGAAAGTAGAGATGAGGGGGAGGACAGTGGTGGGTTGCAGAAGCTCAGCTGATGTTTAGTGCCAGGGCCGGCTCGGGTTTGGGGATTTGGCAGTTGTGTGTGTGTGTGTGTGTGTGTGTGTAAGGGGGGAGTGGGCTACCCCAGGAAAGAGCCTGCATCTGAGATTCTATTCACACGGGAAGCTGGGTGACATCCTGCTTCTGGACTGAAAAGCTTTAGGGCTTTACACCCCTGGTCTCCAAGCCTTATCTTCAGCCACTGTGGCCCCACACCATTTTGGGGTCATGAGAACATGCAAACAAGAAAGAGGCATCTAGCTGTACTGTGCACCCCCACAGTTCTTTTCTACAATGCATCTACAAGCTGCAAAATCTTTATAGCCTGTAACTCCAGAAAACTCGCATCTGAGAAGAGCTTCTTCCTCATATTATCATCCCTGAGGGAAAACAATACATCAACACGGTGCAGGTCAAGTAATTACGAGAAAAGTATTCCCAGTTATTATGTGCCATTACCTGTCGTGTTTTCTCTGTTTCCTACATTTTTAATTACTTCGCTTACATCCTCATCTTACAGTAAATGAACACAAACACACTGGAAGCTGCAACAAAAATGTTGCTCAATCACCTTGAATGGGGGAAACGTCACGCTGTGCTTGATTGCACTCTGGACTCATTAATGCTCTGCTGGGCTCCGTGCACTAAAACATTTCAACTTTCCAGAAAGCAATGCAAGCTCTGGCCAGTCATCTCCCATTATGCATATTAGTTCAGTATAGGCGTTAGCTCTTGAGTGCACCTTCCAAACCCAGCACTTGGATGAGACAATCGCTCCTATTGCCAATGCTTTTTTTATATATAAAAACACCAAAAGCAACATAGAGAACAATATGTAAGAAATAATAAAATAACTACCTTAAAAGTAGAGAGTCTTGGTCAGTTATGACGGAGGCCAATCTTTCAGTGCTAAAATGTAGAAATTAGTATATATATCATTAGTATGTATATCACAAAGACTATGGCCATTGCGCAATACTCAGCTCGGGTTTATCCCAACAAAAGTGTTTGGTAGACAAAAGGTTGGGACCAAACAGTCAGTTTCTGCATAAAAAGATGTGCATCAAATGGAATGACTAATGTAATGTACTGTTAACGTATGTAACAGAATGTAGTGTATTTTTTACCTGCAGCGTTTGTACTGAGTACTGTATTCCTTTTTTTTTTTGAGCTACGGCACATATTTTATATCCAATAATGTATGTAAAAAAATATATTAACCCTGATATACTCACAGGAATTGAAGAAAAGCCCACACAAATATCTTCTCCAACAGCTCAGAGATGCTTTTCTTTAGTTTTTAAAGCTGTCTGCTGTCACCTTGTGGAGTATTTATCCTCTGTGCCTGTCACTGATAAAATATTTGCAGTTGCCCTTTATCAGACGAATTAGGTGAAATTGGGTAATTTTCCTATCTCTCAGCCCACTAATGTGCCACGGCACAGTAGTTGAGAATCACTGATGTACTGTACACAGTATGTGTGAACCGCCTAGCATTCCCTCGTACATCTAACATGTTTACATGAAGTGAAAGCCCACGTAGAGCTCTGCCAAAGTATGGACTAAATATAAACACGGACAGACATGATGAGGAGAAAAATAGATCAAAACAATATCTATCTATCATTTCTTCATTAGCAGGTAATTATTTGATGAATTATCTTCTCTACTCTAATGAAAAGCCAAAGGATTAAAAATTAAACAAATATCCACCTTTCTTGATAACTATTATCAGAACTAGTAATACTACTGTGTGCGGTTTGGGTAGAGGACATTTAGCCTAAATACAAGAGTCCATTAACAATTATTAATAGTCATTACCTGATTTCCAACTTCATGATATGCCAGGCATTTTAAATAAGACTGAAGCCAAACAACACCACAACCTGTACATCAATGAAGACAGACATTTGGTCCTTTTTATCTACTTTTTCTAACCTATCTTGGCACCCAAACATGTTACCACCTACGCACAAAATACAAATACTTACAACAATGAAACATGTTTCAAGTATTTGTAGTTTTAGTTTTAGTATTACAATACTTCATTCCAGGAACACTTAGTCAAAATAAATCACAGCTTATTCAGGAGGTCTTCTCCTGATTTAATTATTTTTTATTGCAATTTTAGAATTGAATGACATTGGGCCAACAATATTTTTTTTCCAATAGTGAGTCCTAATTGTGCTGCATGATGAAAAAAATGTGTCCCTCAGTCCAATGCTGAGGAACACTTTTCTGAAGAAAAAAAATCTTTATCTTTTAAAAATAAAGACAATAAAGAGCAGTGAAAGGAGGCAGAGCCTGGGAGCTTGGATCTTTTAAAGAGGACCAGATGCACGATGAGTATGCACAGTAGAGAAAGAAGAGGAGGAGGGAAAGGAAGTCGTCACCCACCTCCCATCAGCCCCAACTAACAGCTCTTCTTTCTCTCCTCTTCCCAAAGAGAGTTGATGACGAGCACAGAAGCAAAACTTTCCCCAGGCTATAATTAGCAACCCTCAATTTGACTCATCACAGTCTCTGTGCACCGTGTGTGTGAGTGCATGTGTGTGTGCATGCGTACAAGGGCAGGCTATGTGTTTAACCCTGACACAACTATCAGGTCTTTAAGAGTGTTGGGAGGAAGTTGACTTCTGCAAAACAGATGTGACTTGAAGAAGCCACAAAGCCTCTGAGACATAAATATAAAATAAACTTTATACTAACAGCTAATAAACATTCATGTTCAGAATTTGTATTGATGTTTTTATTAGCATTTTTCAGATTAGCATCTCACAGTAAGATTCTGGAAGGATCTCTGGATCTCTGTGTTAAAATCGATAATTATCTGGTCAGTCTTTTTCCCACAGTCCTTTGTACCCTGCTTTCTGTCCACTGTCAGCTGGGATGAGGATAAGGGATAAGTGGTTAGGGATTGGATGAATGCACAACAGACTTTAAATCAAATCCAAACCATATTCTATTCCAGAATGCTCCTCCAAGACACATTATTTGAATTTATACTGAATTTCCAGTCATCTTACTGCTCTACTTTGTCCATAAAAAAAATTAGGGACAGAGGTATACCTGGCACAACAGTACAATGCACCAGCTGACGTACAAATAGTCGCTGGTTAAAAGGTATTCAGACAAACCATATTAGTTGGTACACTAAAATGCAGTAAAACTATAATGTAGGGATGTAATACCTGAAATACCAGAATCAGTATCAGGCCTGATACTTCAATCAAAAAGTGTTGTTGTACATATATAGACACAAATTCACTCAACAAACTTTCTCCTCTGCATTTAACCTTTTACTAATGCCTGGGGATCAAGTACGCAAATCAAAATCATCATAGATTGGTTTTGTAAAAAATGAGAAGATGGTTTTCAAAGGTGTATTTTGTGAGCTGGTTTCCATTCTTGTATGCGTGTACTGCTGTCAATCAAGTGTTAAATGTCAGAGTGTGATATTTACTGCAATATTTAGTTGTTTTTTTGTGCCTTAGGCTGTGCTATTATTAAAAGTTAATTAAAGAAGAACAGATATTACACCAAAAGTCATCACCCACAGCAAACACACACTGCTGCTGCTAATACTGTAACTTCATAATATTGAACTTCTCTTCATGTGAGCGTGTGAAAGAACAATGTACACAGGGTGAATTGGTACTTGCAGAAAACACAGGGATATTTACAGCTTCTTTAATAGACACTCAATATTCCCCAATGACTGAGGACGAAACGATTTTAGGTTTAAATTAATTTCAGAAGTGAACTAACAGCTGAAATTGGTTGTGAGTATGCTGCTGTATGTTACTAAAAAGTAAATGTATATAAATGTAAATATTAAATATAATGTATATAACTACTAACATTCCAATTTTTAACATATACTTTTCCTTTCTCTTGGTGAAGATACAAACCAAACAAGACTTGCATTAAGCTAACAGCTAATGCCTCTTACTCCGCAGCCCTGGAGTCACACTTTTTCAAATTGCACCATTATTTTTTCATAAAGAGCTTTCCCATGCTCCATTTTGTCTAATACAGCACATCTGGTGAATCCATTCACTTTCCTTGTGAAAAACAATCTGTCGTCATCACAGCACTGGAAAAGGATGGTGAGGAAGTGAGAGAGTGGAGCAGAACTTGTGCTTCTAGCAGCATTACAGCTTTATGAGCGATGGACTGGACCTGTAGACCCTGAGCTGGGAGCCAGTGGAACACATTGTTATGGCAACCTCGCACAGAGAGTGTGTTTAGACTAGGCTGTGCCGCACAGTGAGGTC